TGTATACAGTGTGTGTGTGTGTATATATATATATATATATATATATATATATATATATATATATACACAAATGTCTTTGTTTGGATGCTCACTGGGTTTAGCAATAGAATTCACCGGCGCACCAATCTCTGTTTTACCATTCTGCCTTTATTGACATTGGATAGTCATAACATCACATTTAAAGGCAACATTTTGGAACCGAAAAGGTTCATCAGGCAAACAAGATGATAACCATCGTAGATAACATCCACATATATACATAGGTGCTGAGGTGGGATTTTATGTGCACTGGTTATGACTTTGTTTTCCCACTTTGTATGCCTGATAATGGAACCTATTTGATTCTGAAGTGTTGCCTTTCAAAGTGATGACTATCCAACATCAATAAAGACAGAGTGGTAGAACGTAGATTGGTGTGCCGGTGACTTCTTCTACGGCTTGACACAGGAAAGCTTGCAAGAAAAGTGGTTTATTGTATAGCCAACGTTTGTTTTAGTGGAGCACACCCAACCCTTCTCAAGGTTACAGCCTTTACCAAACTGAGTGAATACATGCTTAAACTCAGCCCTGTTTACTAATAAGCTAGTGGCCACCCACACCCTAATATCCTAACAGGAAAATAATTCTGAACCATCCTCATACTGTATATACTGCAAGGAGAGAATCCAAAATATGCATCTGCCATGTATCCGTACCTAGGAGTTCATATATAAGAGAAAGTCCTGTAGATATGTATCAACGTGGGTAGAATAAGCAGACAAACAGACTCACCCGAAATGGAGAACTACAAGATCCAACAGTCTGGTAATGACTGTAGTATTGCAAAAGACGGGCTCTGCCCCACCGAAATGTTGGCTTTACATTAATCTGCTCTCTTACAGCTTCCTTATGTCATTTCTTATGTCAAGCCCCCAGGCCTAATAATCACAATCAATGCAAATACTGCTGTGTTGGTAAACACAAAGGTGGCACCAAAATGTCCGTAAGCAGTTATTTGGTCTTTTGGGCAAGAAGTCAACTCCAGCAAAAATGTTTTTTTTTAATAGAATGGGGGCATAGAGTTAAGTCTATGGCAGGGGCGTCCACTATTTTTCATCTGGAGTTACACAGAGGATTGGTACATACTAGTGACATGTACCGATCCTGTGCCGCTCGGCCACGCACAGGGGGGCTGTAACGTCTCTGGATCCCCCCTGCTCTCCCGGGCAGAGGTAGCGGGGGATCCGACGAGCCGCGGGGGGGGGGGGGGGCGGAGCCACTGTGACAGAACGTACGAGCAGTGAGGGGAGAGAGAGGTGCCGGCTGTCAGATCCTGGCCGAGCGTCTCTCTCTCTCTCTCCTCACTGCTGACAGCGGCTCTGTCCTCCGCCGGTTCCTTCACTTCTTCTCGGATCCCGATCGACCTTATGGGCACCCCTGGTCTATGGCATGTTGTTTTGCTACCTGTGTTTCTATTGGGCAGTTACTCCAACAGAGATGCAGTCAAAAAACAGGAAAAAAAAAAAAGAATTCTTGATAATGCTTTTATTGCTGTCTGTGCCTTCCTGTCCTGGTGAAAATCGCAGCTCCATTTCTTGTAGGCACGTACCAGGGACAGAAAGGGAGAGAATATTTCCCCAATAGGGTCAAATGTAGGAATAGGAACCTGACGGATATTACCCATTCTTCCCCACTTTGTCTTAGATCGAACATACAAGCTTTTGAAACATAACAGATACAGATGAGAATCACACATCTATACACAAAGAGATACTTTCTTTGTACTTACCTGGTATATAAGTGGTCTACCATTTCAGTTGATTAAATACTGATGTTGGCCCAAAATACCTGACTGGTGGAAGGTGAAGGGATGTTGACCCTGCTGTTGGCATAATTTATCTTATCTTTACTAAAGTTAAAATGCTCATTCAAATATGATTTGAAACCTCTTCTTTGTGGATCCAAAGTTAATCCCAGTGTCTTTTTCCTAGGAACATGTACTGACAATGTCCTGGGATATTGTGATGACTTACCGTACAGCAAAACCATGTACCCTAACTCATTAGACCATCGATCAAGAGGGGATACGGAATTCAGTGCTGAGTACATCCTGCTGAGTGTCATTGACAGCTTGCTGCAAGGAGAATGCAATCCTGACCTGAGACTTTTGGGATGTGCTGTCCTGGCTCCACGATGTGAGAAGAACAAGATTGTAAAACCATGCAGAAAAGTCTGTGATGCTCTAAAGAAGAATTGCCTTCCTGCCTTTGATGCTATTGACATGGCGTGGCCTTATTTTCTGGACTGTGATCGCTTCTTTGCAAGTGAAGAGGAAGGGTGTCATGATCCACTGGAGAGACTAAGAGGTACTGTAATCTATCTATCTATCTATTCATCCATCCATCTACTTATCTTAAATCTAGGTTCCAGGCTCCATTGGTTACATATTCTACTTCTGCTATGGGTATGTCGGGGAAGGTCCCATAAGGTTACCATTAACATTGTTGAGTATTTAGAGTAGAACTATGGCCTCCCATTCAAAATGTGCCGAGGCATTTGTTAGTGCATGTGAACTTACAGCTTTCCCCTTTTCCCCCCCTGCAAAGTCTTACAAATACCTGTTGATATCCAGCCAGTAATGTTCACCTCATGCAGCTTTCTGTGATGGGGTGTCAACACTGTGGCAGTGCTCCTCGATTCAGAACAGTGTGTCACCTTCATTAGAGTGGCATAAGAAGACATTGCAGGGGGACACAGCTATCAGAGGAGGATGAAGAGAACATCTGAATGAGACCGAAGACACTTGAAAATATATAGTATTTGTTTTTCAAGGGGTTGGTTGCTCCAATTAAAGGGGTATGTGGCTCCTGTGGAAGGGGTATGTGGCTTCAGTGAAGGGGATTTAGCACACTTGCAAGCATATTGATCCTGATTATGCTTTGTTAATAATTTCAAACCGATCGAGCTGTAGATTTCTGGGTTGTCTGTAACAAGATAAGGGCTTCCTGGTTTTATTTAGTGATTGTATGTGCTTAACAGTGGTCAACCAGAGGTTTTTACAAACGACACTCAGGTCATTCATCTTTAAAGTAGTACTAAATTACCCACTTTAAAAAAACAAAAAAAAAACAAACAATGAAACATTCCCCAGTACTTTTTTTTTAAGTCTGCAGAAACACTTACATTCTTTACTGTTCACTGCCACAGCTCCAGGTCCCACAGTACCAATTTCCCAATTTTTGGGTAGGGAGGCACGCACCCTGTGCCCTGTACATTCACAGTGCACTACTCATAGCGCATGCTCAAGCTGCTGTGGCACCCTGTTTGGACACGGAGCCACCCAATAATGGGACCCAAGAAGGGGGGCTTTTGAAGATGAGGGCATGAAAGCAAACTAAATGCTTAGAAAGGAAAATTGACATGCAAAAATGGAAAGTGCTGATGTCTGCAGCACTATAAGACTTTTTTTTTTTTAAATAAGATTTAATAACACTTTAATTCCACATGCAGAAATCTATAGTTTTTACATGTATTTTGATATCCAGGAGTTTTCCTTTTATTTGACTGGGCATAGAATTATACAAGAAAAACCTGATGGGAAACCCAGAAACCAAGTAAATCAGAAGGGAGGAGTGGATTGTGATCCAGACCATTTTATATTATGTTCAACGAAAAACAAGGGAAAAAATTACAATGTTAAAGAAAAAAAATGCAGATAAAACAAAATGAAAACATTCACTGAGCTACTAATGTTGCACAGTAAACAATAATGCTTCAGTGCATTTCCACTTTTGCAGTCCAACTGAGATAACACCTATTTAATATTTGTTACATGTTCCCATTCACATAGCAAAACTTAATAAAAATATTTAAAAACATTGCTGCTTACCTTTTTACTTGCTCTTTCCTGAAAGTGTTATGGAAATTCACTTGGTTCAACGCACAAATCCATGTCGCATTAAGCTGCACCAAACGCAAAGAATTTCCCCCGTTGTACTACGCTCTTTTATGCAAGGACTGGAAGTATCCCTTTCTATAGAGTCATGTAGAGTCATGAGACAGATGTTGCTTGTTCGTTAATCCCATGCTAAGAGACCTGAACACAGGTATGTTTATTGTTTATACCTGCCCAACAGGAAGAGATGCCAGACAGGAAGGGGTGTCTCAAACAGCGAGACAGGAAGTGATGGCAAACCAACAGATGATTTCAACAACCAGCAAACCAGGAAGTGGGACAGACAGGAAGTGAACAGGAGCCAGCTAACAAAACACATTAGTAGAACAATCACATTAGTAGAATAATCTATCACCACCGGAGTAACTTTATCCAGCATTGCTCAGTGATCAATGCCACATAACGTTACTAGGATTCTAATGCGCGCTCATTCACAGGGACAACGTCATTATCCCTAGCGTGTTGATCAGGCACACCAGAGAGAACAAACGCACGTTCCTTTCATACACTGCGTTCCAAACAAATGTATCCACGCAAACCAATAAATCCATGCATTGCACGGGGGGCCCCAGCCGGCGTCCATACATTCGCCAAGAAGACACTGCTCCGCCACACATAAGAAATCTCCTCCAATGGATTAATCGCCCAGTGTCTATTTACCTGACACTGAGAGACTAATGACAAAACATTACAATACACTAAAAAACACATCCTAGTAAAATTTCCACAACAAAAGTAAAGATTCTTTTGAAACTGAATTTCCCTCGGTAATGCAAAGGGGTGGGGGGAATTTGTCTTTAACCTAATTAACCCTGTCTGTGCTGTGCTGGCAGATAACATTATCAGTTGTAAACTAGATTTGAACACCGTCTGTTGTAAATTAGACTTGAACACTGTCTGTCCTATCAAGGAGTTAAAGATCTAAAAGCATTGTAAGTTATATCGGGGAAGTTTAACCTGCCCCTAGTCTTCCTATGGGGACAGCCGGAGTTTCCTGTCACTTGGAAATTGTACAGAGAATGCATGCACTATTTTTTGTGATTGCACTGCACTGGAATGCAAGGCATTGCTGTACCACTTGTTCTGGTGCGGGTAGGAGGCATGTCTGCAATGCCATTGACATGAATGGCGGCACCACGCCCCATCCCAGAACGCAGGAGGCTTGGTTTAAGCAATCTGGTGCATTCAGGGCACAGAATGCACTGGTTAGTGTGTTAGCAGGCCCTTCAGCAAGGGGAGTGTTCCTGCTGCATCACCAGCACATGTGTTTCAGGATAAAATTGAGTGGATTGATGCAGTACAGCAATGTTTGGATTACAGCCAGGCAGTGTTGCCTGTATGCATCTCAATGTTTCATTTACAATTATACTGCAGTGAGACTTTAACAAACTGATTACAGAAGGACTTAAGAAGAAATTGTTAAAAATACGCAAAAAGGAAATGAAGATAATAAACAAAAGATAGCAAAAAGTCCAGTAAAAACAATAGAAAAACGATGAAAAAAAAAGCCTGATATTATAATGCTGGAGAGAAAGATGAGAATCAATGAAGATGGATTTACTGAAATAGAAGAATGGTAAAACAAATGTGCAGGATGAAGAGAAGGGTAAAAACAGGAAACGTTCTGGGGACTAAAGGGCTGAAACATAGAAGGTGAAGAGTGTTTTTTTAACACTGAATGTGGCTGTGTAAAAAAAATGGTAATAAGGAGCAAATATTAAAATGCCGGGCTGGATACTTTGAAAGCCATTAAACAAAGAAATGCTAAATCAGAAAATGGAAGTAAAGAATTTTTAGGGCCAGAAATAAAAATTTAAACTGTATAAAAAAATAGAATCAAACAACTGATAAGAATAAATTATAAGGACAGGATGGTGCTGGTTCAGAACTGATAAAACAAAGATGACCATCTTTATGGAAGTTAAAGTGACCCTGTCACCACGGGCAAAATGCATTCCAGTACGCTATTAACAAAATTAAACCTTATTTGTGTATCACTTGGCTGTAGATGCTCAAATCATCTCTGAATTGGTGCTGACACTGTCCTTCCTTCTGGAGGGTGGCTACTTTTATTCTCCATGGTCCTTGTGTGTGTTAAAAAGTAGCCACCGCTCCAAGCTCACTCCCATGATGGACTACAATCTCAATACAAAATAGTAGTGATGTCCCGATACCAATACTACTATCGGTATCGGGGCAAGTACAGGGCATTTTCATGAGTACTTGTACTTGTGAAAATGCACAAATTCTAAAGGCCGATACTGGCCCTTTAAATGTTTAAACAAGTTTGGATGCCTGAGGTCCTGCGCTTGCTGGGGATCTCAGGCAGCCTGCTGGGGTGCTGGTCTGGCCATCCGTTTCCTCCTCCTACCTCCCAGCGCCAGCACAGCACAAGACAGCCCCACACCGGCCTGTACAGCCTCGGAGCCCGGCATGAGCCCGGATCCCTCCTTTTCAGCCTGGCACCCACCTACAGGGCCCTGGTGAGACCCAAACGCAGCCCTTGTGAGATCTGCACGCAGCCCTGGTGAGACCCAAACACAGCCCTGGTGAGTCCCAAACGCAGCCCTGGTGAGTCCCAAACGCAGCCCTGGTGAGTCCCAAACGTAGCAGGAAGAAGGTTCCATCATATGCCCCTGCCCCCATCCCAGCATATATGCCTTGCCCACAGGTGTGGGCAATAAATACCAGCAGGAGGTCGGGCTTGCCCCAGGACATGACCGTCCTGTCAGATCTTCATTCCTCAGTGTCCAGCCCCAAGAACCCTTTGATGGTCCTCATTTACATATCAGCCACCTGCTGATTCCATTCAAGATTCAACCTTCCATCAAAGCTGTATCATAGATGTCACTTTTTTTACGTTCCAACACATCCCTACAAATTAGTAAACTAAAGATGAGATTGTAGTCCATCACGGGAATGAGCTTAGAGCGGTGGCAACTTTACAACACACACAGGGACCATGGGGAACAAAAGTAGTCACCTTCCAGAAGGAAGGACAGTGTCAGCACCAATTCAGATATGATTTGAGGATCCACAACACAAATAAGATACAAAAGTTAAGGTACTTGAATGCATTATTATGGTTTAACTCCTGAGTTTAGTGTCACTTTAATAAAGACAGTAGAGAAGATCATCTGTACCAGAGGTAGGCAAACTTTGGCTGTACAGCTGTGCCGGAACTGCAGATCCTATTAGGCATAGCAAGACTCTGAGAGCAACAGGCATGCCAGTGGCAGATGCATGGTGGCATTTGTAGTTTCAGCACAGCTGGAGGGCCAGAGTCGGCCTTCCCCTGATCTATACTTACCTTTTAGATCGCCTCTGTCTTAAAATGCCACCTTTTCTCTGCTGCCGCGCTGCTGCAAGTATTTCACAATTCTGGTGGGTTGAATCCCTGCATCCCCTGTC